GCCCATTTAGCCCATCCCCCCTCCCACAACCCCTCCAGTAACCCTCTGTTCTCCATGTTTTAGAGTCTCTTATGTTTTGCCCCTCTCCCTGTTTTTATATTATTTTTGCTTCCCTTCCCTTATGTTCATCTGTTTTGTATCTTAAAGTCCTCATATGAGTGAAGTCTTATGATATTTGTCTTTCTCCAATTTCGCTTAGCATAATACCCTCTAGTTCCATCCATGTAGTTGCAAGTGGCAAGATTTCATTCCTTTTGATAGCTGAGTAATATTCCATCATGTATATACATATATATACACCACATCTTCTTTGTCCATTCATCCATCGATGGACATTTGGGCTCTTTACATACTTTGGCTATTGTCATCAACTTTACTTTAAAGGACAAGGTACTATGCTAACGTGCCATCACAGAGAAGAGCCAAATCTGGGACGTTCTTACTCTTTAGTAAAAGAAAGATGTGTGATTCCGCATGAGGTAACCAGTATACTTCTTTATGGTTCAAAAGATCTTCATGATCATTCTTCATGTCACCAAAAAGTATTATAGGGATTCTACTATGTGAGAGGCTTGCTTCATCTAAGTAGCCACACTGAGGGTGGCTGCCGTGCAGCCACGTGGTGAGTGTAGGACACAGAGTGTAGTGCCCTGCAGTTCCCTGAAAGTGCAACGACCTGCGACCTGTGCGATGCTGGCTTCTTCCCACACGTCAATGGCGAATGATCTGCACCCCGCAGGATTCCTAACAGTGCGCTCGGGGATTTCAGGAAGCGACAATTTATGGCCATCATGTACTGAGGTACCCAGGGAAGCAGCAACCGACTCACAGGAACACCGCAGAATACTTTACACTTGAGACAGACATGGCAGCACTCAACAGCCGTTAGATACCACGTGAACCACGAGCTCATGTCGTTCCATTTCCACACTGGACAGCATGACATTCCTTTCAAGGACACCATGTCTTTGCAAAGCTGGGTTGCCAGGGACAAACGGTAAGTACCAGGTGAAAAATCAATGTGGAAAGGGAAAAGGGGTGGCATTGTGAGAGGCTGAGTGGTGTCCAGCAGGTACCCACATCCTACAGCAAATATTTGGCAACGTTTAAAAATGAAATAAATGGGTGCTTGTGTGGCTCAGCCAATTAAACGTCCAACTTTGGCTCAGGTCATGATCTGACAGTCCATGGGTTTGAGCCCCGCAGTGGGCTCTGTGGTGACAGCTCAGAGCCTGGAGACTGCTTCAGATTCTGCGTCTCCCTCTCTCTATGCCCCTCCCCAGCTCGTGCTCTGTCTCACTCTCTCTCAAAAATAAATAAACATTAAAAAAATATTTTTTAATAAAAAAATTAAAATGAAATAAAAATATTTATTCTTTCCATTTACGTATATTATTTTTTGAAACAGCTACTAGGTTGTTAGAATAAAAATACTTATTATGTTGGCTGGACTTACCTACTTAATAAATGGCACCATCAGATATGGCCAGGAGCACTAAGAAAATGTGTCTGTTCCCCAAAGGGCCATGAGAGCCACCTGAGCTACAGTGGCAGTGCATGGAGTAGCGGAAAGCACAGGACCAGGACCAGGGGGGCCGTGCTCCAGTTACAACTCTGCCATCAACCCCCAAATGCTCTTCACATTAACCAACCACTGGCAAACCAAATGCACTAGTGGACAGATGCTCACAGGTGGCCCCAGCTTCAAGGCGACTGCAGTCAGCTTGCCCTAGATAAAGGCTTGGCTGTCTCCTCCAGGCGGGACACTCCTGCCCTCCCTGAGGGGCCCACAACCTGGACAAATCCACAGCTTTCCCAGTTCATGCCAAGTACTGTGCTAGGCGCCAAAAAGAGAAACCGAGGTCCCATTCTCACTGTTGCTCAAAAGGCAGATACTGAGGTGGCTGACTCATCTGACCAATGAGAAATAAGCAGAGTTAATCTATGCAACAATTCCCACTTCAGAATCTACAAAGATAACAGCAAGTATGATCATTCAGATGGCAGCCATTTCGTGTTCAAATTTTTTTTTTTTTTTAATATGAAATATGTATGTCTTACAGGGGTGCCTGGGTGGCTCAGTCGGTCGAGCATCCAACTTTGGCTCAGGTCATGATCTCACAGCTCGTTGAGTTCAAGCCCCGCTTTGGGCTCCGTGCTGACAGCTCAGAACCTGGAGCCTGCTTCGGATTCTGCGTCTCCCCCTCTCTCTGCCCCTCCCCCTCACTCGCATGTTGTCTCTGTCTCTCTCAAAAATCAATAAACATTAAAAAAAATTTTTTTTTTTTTTA